TGCTCCTCAGTCCATATCCAATTTAGAAATAACCATAAAAGGAATAAGTCCCTCAACAGGTAGCACTTGGAAAATGACAGATGGCAGACCTCCAAGGCAATTACAGGGACCTATTCAGCTCTGCAACCCTAGATCTTTTTAACTGGAAATAATGCTTACAATTTTTAAGGAGTGTATGTTCAGCATTCTCTGAGCTTCCCAGGCAAACTAGGCCCATGCCGGAACGCTGCAACCTTGGTGGAGGCAGGATCAGCCACACCTCTCTGGGAAGAACTGCTCTAAGGTTTGCAGGACTGGGCCCTTTCCCTGCAGCCGTTGCCCAGCTCCTCAGGAGTAGTGACACCTGTGAAAGCTGAGTACTGGGCTATATAAGAACAGGCCTTTGCCTCAGCAACAAATGTCTCTGGTCACACTGTGTTATTGTTCCTGCCACCTTGATATGGTTCCTCTTGGCTTTGATCCCTGGACTGTTTGACCACAATTTGCATTATCCTTCTACTCTGCTGCTGTTTGGACTCAAAACCCCCGCAGATTGGTCTCGGCTTGGGCTGAGGGGTTGGTTCTACCTTGTTTCTGCAGTCTTGCTCTGGACTGGGTCCTGGTGCATCTTCTACAGAACTGTGACAGGTGCGGTCTTTGATCCAGAAGCTAGGCCCAACTCCCTTTCTTCAATTTGTGAACCGACTACTCACACAGAGATACTGCCTCCTTTATTTTATTTTATTTTTTTACAGGCATAAAATGCATGAAAAACTACCCAGAAATGGGCAAAATGCTTATAAAACAATGATTCTGGGCTGCTCCATCCTTCTGCTACTCCTTTCCTTGTGTCTTGGGCTGTGCCATTCCTGGGTTACTGGTCACTTAGACATCTTCTCCCACATCTTCAGAGCTTCGGCGCCCAAAGTCCATCCAGCTAGGGAAATGAGTATCAGCATCCTGCAGATTGTTCTCCCGGGCAGCCAGCTCACCTGGTGGAGAGAGCAAACACAGTGAGTGGTTAATGGAAGGCCCCTGTGGTTTATGGATCAGCTAAAACTACCATGAATTTCTGATACTTTCAAAGACCAGTTGTTCCCAACCTTGGGTCCTTAGATGTTCTTAGAGTGCAACTCTCAAAAGCCTTCACCACTGGCTGTGCTGGCAGTTACAGTCAAAGAATGTCTAGGTTTTCAAGGTTGGGAACCACTGCTCAGTGATTAGTTATCTTGTATTTGGTAACACACCTAGAGGGAAGCCAATGAGCTCCTCAGTTCCCCACCATCACTTTCTACCCATGGATAGCAATGTGCCTGAGGAGGAAAAGTGTCCTGCTTATACGTAGGTTTTTACATATGAGCAAGAACCATGGAAGACTGCTTCCGAGTTACCTGGAGAACTTACAGGTATTTTTTTTTTTTAAAAAAAAACCAACAGTAAATATTAAAACATTCAGAGACGCTACATTTCTAGTCCTGAGGAAGGCAACATAAAACCCCAAATCAAGCCGCCTTGAGGTGAAGCATGCAGAAGCAGTGTAATGGTTTAGAGTTAAGGAGCCGGATGTTATGTTCAATTTGGAAGATTCCCAGAGGACATTTTGTGACCCGGATGGCTGCTTTCGAAAGGGTAATTTGGGTTCATCTGAATATCTGTCTTCCCTCCCCAGGACTGAGTTCTAAAAAACAGAACAGCAAATTATTTTGTAATGTTGATGTGGAAGCTCTGTCTGCTGATCCCAGTTTATTAGCCTTCTCTCAACACAGCAGTCCGATACCCCATCCTGAAAAATAAGTCGGGATAAAGAATAACGGATATGTGCATGGATGTTTACACCACATATTTACAACTTAAGAACCATAAAGGGAGGGGAGGAATGAGCAAATATTGGACTTAGCCTTGTCATGTCTGCCTGCTGTTTCACAAAACAATGGGTGAGCCTTGTGGTTGATGTACATGTGTTGTGAGCTCCCTTTTCATAAATCTTACCTTCCCCAATATGTCTGCAACTACAGTAGCCATCACCCCCCCCCGAAAATACTGACTAAATGTTATGGGAAACATGATAGAACATGCTGGAGAGTACCAAGTAGGGAAATCCTGTGTTCTGTATCTTTTTCACACTCTAAATCACGGGTTCTTAACCTTGGGTTACTCAGAAGTTTTGGACTGCAACTCCCAGAAGCCTTCACCACCATCTGCCCTGACGGGTTTCTGGGAGTTGCAGTTCAAAAGCATCCGAGTAACAAAGGTTAAGATCCACTGCTCTAAATGAAAGCAGCTCTCCACTGAGACAGACAAGCAACGTCCAATGCATTACAGTAGGAGGAGAGCATTGTGCAAAGTCTGTTACCTGCATAGAGGTGAGGCAAAAACTGGGAGATCAAGTGTTTCTGGTCCAAAGATAGATGTCCTGGCCATTCCCGCTGGACAAGCCTCCCATTGCCACTCCGCAGCATCCTGTCTGGTCCTGTTACAGCTTTGGCTTGCCTGCTTAACCCATTGTCCCCTTGGGGTTGGTACAACATAGATACAGATCTTGCGAAGCTGGTGCCTATACAGGTGACCAGCAGCAGGCTGGCAAGTATCTTGGCATGCATATCTGGCAGGGAATGTGAGAAGGTGTTTAGATTTATTAATACCACTAATACTACTTTAGCATCTATTACGCCCTTTGCAAGAATCCAACCCAACATGGTTAATAATTCACATAAAACTATCACAGTTAAAATCCCATTACAAATATTAATTATCTAAAATCATGGATTACACATATCTGAAGTTAAAGATACCTAAAGCCACAGATAGTGATTGCTAAAAAAATACAATAAAAGCAATGCAGACAATGTCCTAATGAGTACTGCTTAATCCTTATAAGTTTCATTACATAGCCAGAATCTTGTTGATTAGCTATGGTGGTATCAGTACAAACTGGAGTAGGGATTTCCCATGAATTAACAACTCTTGTTAATTGACTGCATTCCTCATCACCCACCATTCATGTATGTTGTCGCTTCAATAGAAAAACAAGCAGCAGTTCATTAACTAGTAGCAATTTTTGGCTGCAGATGATGCCATCAAACCTACAATGGTGTAAATAAAGCAAAGTGTGCTGCTTATATATAGCCCAATAGTGCTTAAAGCTCTCTCTGGATGGTTTATAGTTTAATACACTTTGCTTCCAGTGATCTGGGTACTCACATTTACCAACTTTGGAAGGATGGAAAGTTGAGTCAACCACCTGAGTCTGGGATCAAACTCAGATTGTGAGCTCCCTTCACAACCTGAGTCTTCATTGTGGTACTGCAGTTTAACCACTGTGCTCCAAGACTCATAAATAACCAAACAGAATTCTGTCTGATATGATTCTAACTGGGACCTGAAAGACATAACAGATCTCTGGGGAAAGGGGTCCCATAAATGGTGCATATCTGTGTAGCACCCATTTCTCTCTTCTCCATTCTCATTCACACATGGATGCCGCACCAACACTTTCCTCTGTTCTACTGGTGAAAACAATGTGTTAAGATTGATTGGTTGCATCCTTTTAACATCAAATAGCCAACAAATTCAAAATATATTCTTGAAGGATTTCACGGCCGGGATCTGATGGTTGTTGTAGGTTTTTTGGGCTGTTTGGCCGTGTTCTAAAGGTTTTTCTTCCTAATGTTTCACCAGTTTCTTTGGCTGGTGTCTTCGGAGGACAGGAGTTAGAATACAGACAGACTTCTAACTCCTGTCCTCTGAAGATGCCGGCCACAGAGACTGGCGAAGCGTTAGGAAGAAAAACCTTCAGAACATGGCCAAACAGCCCAAAAAACCTAAAACAACCATCAATTTCAAAATAGTTCACAAAATGGATCTGAATGCCATAAAATATAAGAACACCATAAAACAGAGTTTAAAAAACCTTAAAAAAAATAAAAGTTGCAGAATAAAAAAACAACAACAAAGCAAACCATAAAATACTACAAAGATCTCAGAAAGCTGAGTTCTGTTTTGCTTTAAAAAAAAACCTAAACCAAAACAGCAACAACCCTAATGGACCAAAACTAGACAATTAGAAAGTCTCACCGGGCACTGAAGAGATAGGCAATGATTTATAGAGGGTGTGTTTCACAACCAGGGAGCTACCTGGTTGACGGCTTTCTCCTGTTGATTGCATGCCAAATTGCGATAAAAGGCATGAGGTGCCCATAACATATAACAGGAAGGCAGGCAGACCAGACACTTCTTAAAGCTGTCACCTCTGGTCCAGACACACTCCTCTGAACTATCGGAGAAACCTTTCTCTTTTTCCCATACTGCATGCAAGTAGTAAGAACTCCTTGTGGAGCTAAGTTGAGGCTTCAGAGAAAGTCCGTATGAACTAGACTCACCTAAATGGAGGGCTGGATCCAAGCTTTATCAATCTGTCTGGTGGTAACAAGCATGAAAGGGATGCTGTTCCCCCATGTTTTACCTCTCCTCCACAATCTGCTGCTTAGATACGTACAACTCTGAACATGGAGGCTTGAAGATATTACTAAGAAAGAATTCATTTTGGCTGGGTTGAGACCACCATCTTTATCTATGTTGCAAGACTAGCTGGGGCTGACTTGTCCTGGCTGCATCAATACTTGGGAATTAATGTGTTTAGTTATAACAAAACCTTTAGTTTAATTTTGTTTTTAATTTTAAGATTCTCCCTTCCGTTATCCCCCTTTCTTTTTCTCTTGGGCTTGAGTTTCTGTTTTGTTTCTTTTTAGATCCCTTTTCAAAGGAAATTCACTGCTTCGGGCCACCAAACTTGTAAAATGCCCTGAAAATACAGCTGGAAAAAGAATTAAAACCAAGTATTTTGTTTTATCCTTAGCTGTTTCTCTGCTTTATGGGTTTTGCCAGGAGACTACAGAACATTTGAGCTTTCTGCTCTGCATTTCACAATTTTCCTGGTAAAGCTCAAAGGACAACGAAATGGAATCTCACAAAATTTATGTTACAAACGAATTAGCGCTTGTACGAGATGAAAGGAGGTGGTAAATCGCTAAAGTAAAAGACCAAGAAAAAAGTCACGCCTGGCTTGCATTTCTTGCTTGACATCAGCCCAGCTGAGAGGATTCATCCTCTTCTTACCTGCAGTAATTGTCCTCTTAGCTCCACTCCTGTCTCCACAGGAGATGCTCCTCTGCTTCTCCAGATGCAGCAAACTGGCCTTTTAAAGCTGATGCTGGGTTTACTCCTCCCACTTTGGGAAAGCTCCTCCCACAATCTTTATTTCAGTCACATGTAACCAGTTTTGGGCTTGAACATCTGTTCTGCCACTCTTCTCCATGTTTGATTTATCATAGGTGACAGTTGCTCCTAGACAACCAAAAACTCAGCTGGATGATCATATAATCATAAAATAATGAAGTTGGAAGGGGCCTATAAGGCCATCAAGTCCACCCCACCCCCCACCCCTGCTCAGTGCAAGAGTACAAATCAAAGGATATATGCCAGGTGGTTGTCTAAATTTCTATTGAATGCCTCACCACCTCTTGAGATAATTGGTTCCACTGTTGTACTGCTCTAACAGTAATGAAGTTTTCTCTGATAATCAACTGAAATCTTCCTGTATCTTGAGCCCATTACTGCATGTCCTGAACTCTGCAATGATTGAAAAGAGATCCTTTGCCTCCTCTGTATAACAGCCTTTCAAGTTTTTCAAAAGTGCTATTCCATCTCCCCTCAGTCTTCTTTTCTCAAGGTCAAACAATGCCCTGTTCTTTCAGTATTTCCTCTTAGGGCTTGGTTCCCAGCCCCCTGATCATCCTTGTTGCCCTCCTCTGAACTTGTTCCAGTTTGTTGGCATCCTTCTTGAAGTGCAATGTCCAAAACTGAACACAGAACCCAAATGAGACCTAACCTCCAGTTAATAGAGGGGAACTAGTACCTTGCCGGATTTGGAGACTATATTTCTGTTAACACATCTTAAAATAGCATTTGCCTGTTTTTTTGTAGCCACATCACACTGTTGACTCTTATTCCATTTGTGATCTTTGATGATTCCAAGGTCCTTCTCACTTGTAGTATTCCTGAACCAGGTATCCCCCATCTTGTAACCATGTGTTCAGTTTCATTATTTTAATGAAATCCAAAGCTCTGATGATCTCAAACATTTAGAATTTTTCAGTGTGTGTATGGAGCTGGCCAATTTGAGAAGAGAACAAGACGTGGTGGTGCAAGCCCAAGACTCACCTTCTCATAGAGATCTGCCAGCATGTCTCTCTAATCACCCTCACATTACTTCCTTCCCAATGCTGACTTTGTTGTTACCTGCTGTCTGGTTGCCCCCGATTTATGAGCAATCTCCAAAATCTCCTGTCCTCAGTAGCCCTGTGCAGCAATTGCAGACTCAGGCCTGTGGCTTTTTAGGGAGCCAATCCATTGTTTATTTGGTCTTCCTTTTTTCCTGCTGCCTTCCATCTTTCCCAGTATTGTTATCTTTTCTAGAGAATGCTGAGAAATGCTGGCTACTTGTGTCTTTTCTACACAATTCTTAAGGAATCTGGGTTGTATATAGCTGCTTATCTCACTCATCCTTCAGCCTGTCTCCTAAACTCTTTGCCTGCTGTCTCTGTGCCTTTCAGAATAATCAGATGTTGGGGGAATCGGATGTTCCATCCCTATTGTAAAACAGCAGAACCACCTAAGATGACAATTTTGTCAAGGTGAAGCCCAGAGTTCATACAAACATCCTTCTCTCTTTCTGTATTTGATTGTTTGAAAAGTCTGAAGGGCCCTCTAGAGCAGGGGTCTCCAAACTTCATCATGAGGGGCACATCATATATTTTCCACATTTTTGAGGGAACACATGCATATGCACATCTTATATTTTCCACATTTTTGAGGGAAAACATGCATATGCCCCCCCTTGCCTGAATGGGTTGAAGGGAATGGATTTGAGCCTGCAACGTTCACCAGGTCAGATAAAAAGGCAAGGCATACCAGATGTGGCCCGTGGGCCATTGTTTGGAGACCCCTGCTCTGGAGAAATGAATCAGCCTTCAGCTTTGTTTTACAGTGTTAGGGAACTTCTGGCATCTAGTGGCTGAATGTAGTACTGCAAGTTGTAGGAACAATTAAATCTCTCAAAATTTAGTCCATAATTAAAAAAAGCAATGAGGTGCCCACTATCAGGCTACCCTTAATAACCACAATGACTTTCTGTATTTCACAGAAATCTAGATTTCACAGTCATGGAGCTAGCTGGAGAGAGACAATGGACAGGCAGACAGACACTGGCCAAAATCCTAATGTGTAGCTATGTGTGTGCAACTCAAAGTTGTGTCCATTGTAGCTGTGTGACTACTTAGGCAGAAATGCTACCCCCAAAGCACTTCTGCATTGCACAGTTGGTTGTGGTGAGGATATGTGACTGATTGTGAACTGCAGAGTGCAATTCCTTGTTGCTACTTGGAACACTTACACTGATGTAACTTTACATTAAACTAGCATAAACAGGATACTGGCCATTCCCTTTTATCATTATAAATGAAAAGATACAATTAGAACAGCAGAACACAGAGGAGCACCTTGAATTATGCCATGATAACCCACCCTTCCATCTGAATTATGAGGCTCCACTTTCCAAGTCCTTTTCAATCTTACATCTGCTACCATAAGGTCTAGAAACCTTTTTTGAAACATGAACACTCTGACACTTGAAATGCTGAATCATGCAGTAGGTCTAGTAATTGACTAGCTTCCTTTCTACCCTATAGAAGTCTCTTGTTATAAACCAGTGTTACAAAAGGGCAGCCCTAGTGTGGCCTTAAAGCAGGGTTCATGAACCTGTGGATCTCCAGATGTCTCTAAACTCCATCTCCCATCAGTACCAGGCAGCATGGGCAGTGTTGAGGAATGATGGGTTTACAAGTGAAAAAAAATGTGGACGGTTGCAGCATCAGCATCACCCCCTCCCCAAATTTTCAAAGGTCATATTGTTGGGAAACTATTTTTGCATGTGTCCTACAAACAAATCCAAATGTAGTCAATTTGACAGTGAGGTAAACCTCAAAAAGCCAACAGCTGGAACAACATAGCAAGGTCTTTATGTAGAAGGGAAGGAAACCATTTATATTAAAGCTAGGATACTTAACAACAAAACAACATCTGCCACATATTAAAATATTTTGTTTTTAAAACAGAATGCATCAGCCTTCAGATGCAGCTATGCACACCCATCAAAATAGCATTTGGGAATATGGAAGACAGAAGAATCTATCAGCCACTTAAAAGAAAACACACCTGCAGCTAAAAACTGCTGTGAAAACCCAAGTGGCACGAAGGACTACAGTTGTCCTCTGTCTTAACATAAATTTTGTGGTTCAGATATAATCCTTTGACCATCCCTTCCAATAGTAGTTATTGTGCTTTTCTGCATCCTCCTAGCAGGTGGGGAAGGAATGCATCTGTGCCAGAAAGATTATCTACAGAGTCTCCATAACTTTATTTTTATCTGAAGAGCTTTACATGCTGGTATAAGGGCCCTTAAGAAACCAAGATGGGTGGAAAGGGCCTCACAATTTCAGTTGCACAATAAAACAAATTAGTGGTTTGTTTCCTTTTCTACTGAAACAATATTGTTTCCTCAAATAGTACTGGTGAGCTAAATAGCTCTGGATTGCTTCCATCCCCCTACTAACTAGTTCCCAGTGCCAGAAAAAAAAAGGGGGAAATGGAACAATTATGCACAAGCAATAAAGAGGGGATGTAGGGAATGGATATGTAAGCAAAAGAGATGAGAGCTTAGAAAAAGTTACTTTTTGAACTACAGTTTCTAGAATTGCTTAGTCAGGGGATTTTGTGAGCTGTGGTCTAAAAAAAGTAACTTTCCAAAGGTCTGAATATAGAAACCAGTTGCTCTCAAGTCCCCCCCGTGTCAATGAAATGATGGTATGCTTGAAGAATGTGTTACATTTGGTAAGGATGTCTCATAATATTTCTATCAAAATAACACCATGGGTGATGAGAACTACCTACTTTCTGTAGTTAAAATCCCTTGGGAGTAATGTTGGATAGCCTTTCAGAGTTTACTGGGACTTTTCTCATAAAATCTCAGTAAATAAAATCTGGTTCATGCCAGTTCATCAGTGCGGCACCACAGTCCGGCATGTTCCCTTCCCCCATCCCCTGGGCTGGATCCCCCCACTCACCAGGCAGTGTGAAGTGCTCTTCTCATGCTACTTGTGCATCCAATCACAGCAGGAGCTCATGCTTCCCTCCTCTGCCTCCTCCAGCAGCTGCCCACTCAAAGGCAATGCTACAGGAATTTGTGTTCCACTTCCTCATCTCAGTGGGCAGCTGCTGGAGGTGGTGGAGGAGGGAAGCACAAGTTCGTGCTGTGACTGGATGATTGTGTGAAGAGCAGGAGAAGAGCAGCGCGCACTGGCTGGTGAGTGGGGGAGCTGGCCCGGGGGGTGGGAGAAGGGAACACATGGGACCCGAGGTGCTGCACTGATGAATCGGCATGGACTGCTGAATTGAGGTCCGTGCCCATCTCTATTTGGGAGTTGTTCCATGGACCCAAACCACCAGTGTTGCTCATGATTGTACCTCCCAGGGAATTCTCAAACATACATATGCACAATTGTAGGGCGGGCTTTGTCTCCAAACAGATTGCCATGAACACTTCACTCTCTCAAACTCTTGATAAGAGGCCTGCACTTGCTTACAGACAGACCTCCAATTTCAGTCAAGAGACTACACAACACTGATACAGAGAAAGGAACTAAATCCTGCTACAAACCCAGATGCCTGCTCCGTCCCCGCCTCTATTTTGGCAACACGATTACAGACCCCAGCAATGTCACACACAGCATCAGGTGCCTGTCTATTTGTTCTGCTAGTATGATTTATGCCATCCTTTGCCAACAATGCCCTTCTGCACTCTGTGCTGGGCAAACGGGACAATCTCTGTGCAAAAGAATCGGTGGACATAAACCAGACATATAGACATCACAATACAGTATAGGAATCTATTTCAAAACATTTCAGTTGACCTGGATACTTTTAGGGCACAGTGCTCATCCCTGTCTCCAAGCCGTAGAGCCAGCATTTTGTCCATAGACAGTTTCCATGGTCACGTGGCCAGAGCGACTAGATACAGAACGCTGTTACCCTCCCACCGAGGTGGTACCTAT